TTTTTTCTCTGATACAGTGGAGTAAACAAGGATACTACGGTGAGGACCTGGGAGAAGATACATATCTGGTGGGGCAGGCTACTATTGATCTGATGCAAACAGGGTTTAGGATTTCCCAAAAATCCTTAAAGGCTTTTCATTCACCAAAATCTGGTGAGTGTATTTGATGTTGGTGTGCACGGGTGATAGGTGGAAGTTTCCTAAAAGCATTTGGAATCCTCAGCTTTCATCAAAAGTGGTTTTGGGGTGTCTTTCCTGAAGATTTTTTGACAGAGATATGCACCAATGATTATGGGACATTTATGTTTTGTGATTCACTAAATTTGTATGAAGGGCTATTTTGCGCTGTTTCATTTATAAATATTATTTGTGTTTTCACATTTTCTGCACAGCAGCAATTTAGAAGAGGGATACACATATTTTGTATTTGGCACTTTTTTGTTGGCGCAGGAATATTTTATTTTTTGTTTTAGTGTAAGAAAAAATCCTTATATGTCCATTAAAATTATTTAGGTAGGCAAATTAGAGTTTGTCATGATAAAAGATGAAATGATGATAATGCCAAGTTAGGCCTGGACACCACTGGCTTCATTGAAAGGCATAAGGAAAACATTTATTGTATTAATACCACATACTATGAACTATAGTTACTTTACTTCTCTTTCCCAATTGCATTCACAAGCAGTACTGAATTAAGCCATATCTTACCGGAGCAAATATATTTGCTGGCCGATGGTCCCAAATTTCTTTGTCACCTCCCTGTACCAAGATATAAACATTAATGATATGGCTAACAATGATGGAAAAACGCCAAAGACATGCTGGTAGGTTATTTGGCTCCTGTCTAAATTGAGCCTAGTATATGTATGTACGAATGTGAATTTGGGACATCCTGAGGGCAGGGACTGATGTGAATGTACAATACATACAGTCATAGCCAAACATATTGGCGCTCATAAATTTCTGTTAGATAATGCACCACTTCACCCATAAAACTGTTGCAATTACAAATGTTTATGCATTCTCATGTTTATTTTGTTTGTATTGATATGACACAAAAAAGTGGAGAAACAAAAAGCCAAATCTGACACATTCCAATCAAAAACCCCATACATAGAGTGGACAAAATTATTGGTACCCTCAATGTAATATTTGGTAACACACCCCTTGAAAAAAATAATTGAAAGCAATCGCTTCCCCTAACCATCAATTAATTTCCTTCACCTCTCTATTGGAATTTTGCAGCACTCTACTTTCATCAACTGCAGCAGGTCTTTCAGATTGGAAGGGTTTCTTTTCCCCAACTGCTGTTTGAGATCTCTCCACAGGTGCTCTATCTGGGATTGAGATCTGGACTCATTGCTGGGCAATTAATTACTCTCCAGTGCTTTGTCTGAAATAATTTCTGGATGCTTTTTGGCATGTGCTTTGGGTCATTGTCCTGCTGTAAGACCCAACTTTCTGACACTGGGCCCTGCATTGCACCCCAGAATTCTTTGGTAGTCTTCAGATTTCATAAAGCCATACACAGACATGGTCAAGACATCCAATGCCTGAAGCAGCAAAGCAACCCCAAAACATCATTGAACCTCCACCATGTTTGACTGTAGGGACTGTATTCTTTGTTTTAAAGTAGAATGATGGGCTTTACCAAAAAGCTGTAATTTTGTTTTGTCTGTCCACAGCACATTCACTCAAAAGGATTTTGGCTTCCTCAGGTAAGTTTTGCTAAACTCCAAATCTGGTTTTTTTATGTTTCTGTGTCAGAAGTGGGGTCCTCCTGGGACTCCTACCATAGTGTCTCTTTTCATTCAGATAGTGATGTATACTGCAAGCTGACATAGTTGTAGCCCTGTGCATGAAGGTAAGCTTGAATTTGTCTGGAAGTTGATCGAGGTTCTTTAGCCACCATTTGAACAATCTTTAGTTGCAATCTTTGATCAAGTTTTTCTCTTTCAGCCATGTCCAGGGCATGTTTTTCTCTTTTTGAGTCCCTGCCCTCAGGATGTTTACAATCTAAGGTCCCAAATTCACATTCATACATACACATAGGGCCAATTTCTGACCATGACTGTATGTAAAGTGCTGTGTAAATTGATGATGCTATATAAATACCTGAAATAAATAGAATAAACTAAAACAAATTAATATGCCCACTTTTAGAAACTGGAAATGTATCAAAAAGCTATGAGCATCACAAAAACAAATCTAATTTCAGTGACTGTGGAATAAAAATTGATTTAATAGTTTCGTGTGTAATTATTAAACTACCATATTTTCCGGCGTATAAGACGACTGGGCGTATAGGACGACCCCCTACTTTTCCTGTTAAATGTAGTGTTTGGGCTATACTCGCCATATAAAACTACCCCTCTTCCAATGCACACCAGTGGGAAGAATAGTGCCCCATCATCGGTGTCAGTGGGAGGAATAGTGTCCCATCGTTGGTATTAGTGGGAGGAATAGTGCCCCATCATTGGTATTAGTAAGAGGAATAGTGCCCCATCATTGGTATTAGTGGGAGGAATCGTGCCCCATCATTGGTATTAGTGGGAGGAATCGTGCCCCATCATTGGTATTAGTGGGAGAATAGTGCCCCATCATTGGTATTAGTGGGAGGAATAGTGCCCCATCATTGGTATTAGGCAGGAATAGTGCCCCATCATTGGGAGAATAGTGCCCCATCATTGGTATTAGTGGGAGAATAGTGCCCCATCATTGGTATTAGTGGCAGAATAGTGCCCCATCATTGGTATTAGTGGGAGAATAGTGCCCCATCATTGGTATTAGTGGGAGAATAGTGCCCCATCATTGGTGTCAGAGTGACGAATCGTGCCCCATCATTGGTGTCAGTGGGAGGAATAGCCCCCATCATTGGTGTCAGTGGGAGGAATAGTGCCCCATCATTGGTATCAGTGGCAGGAAATAGTGCCCCATCATTGGTATCAGTGGCAGGAATAGTGCCCCATCATTGGTATCAGTGGCAGGAATAGTGCCCCATCATTGGTATTAGTGGGAGGAATAGTGCCCCATCATTGGTATTAGTGGGAGGAATAGTGCCCCATCATTGGTTTCAGAGTGACGAATCGTGCCACATCATTGGTGTCAGTGGGAGGAATAGCACCCCATCATTGGTGTCAGTGGGAGGAATAGTGCCCCATCATTGGTGTCAGTGGGGGGAATAGTGCCCCATCATTGGTGTCAGTGGGGGGAATAGTGCCCCATCATTGGTGTCAGTGGGGGGAATAGTGCCCCATCATTGGTGTCAGTGGGAGGAATAGTGCCCCATCATTGGTGTTAGTGGGAGGAATAGTGTCCCAATTGGTGTCAGTGGGGGAATAGTGTCCCATCAGTGGTGTCAGAGGAATAGTGTCCCATCATTGGTGTCAGTGGGGGGTGGAGGAATAGTGCCCCATCATTGGTGTCAGTGGGGGGGGGGGGGGGGAGGAATAGTGCCCCCATCGTTGGTGTCAGTGGGGGGGGGGGGGGGGAATAGTGCCCCATCGTTGGTGTCAGTGGGGGGGGAGGAAAAGTGCCCCATCATTGGTATCATGGGGCACTATTCCTCCCACTGACACCAATGACACCTGCTGACCCCTGTTCCAGTATGGTGCTGCTGCAGCCAGCATATGTGGTTGCAGCAGCACCTGTGCACGGCACACTTACCGGCTGCTCCGTCACTCGATTTTCGTGGAGCCGCTCGGCTCCGCCTCCTCTCCGGTGATTGGCCGCCTGTGTGCCTGGCGGCCAATCACTGGTGAGGAGGCGGAGCCGAGCAGCCGCGCGAACATCCAGTAGCCGAACCGAATGAAGGAGCAGCCGCGCTTCCTGGACCGGAGCAAGGTAAGAAACAGCAGCCCCTGCCCACCCCTGTACTTAGTGTCCCTTGGAAGGGGGGGGGGGGGGGCGGCGGCGGCACCTCGCCGCCCCCCTAAAAAGTGTCAGCATGCCGTATACCGGCGTATAAGATGACCCCCGACTTTTGAGAAGATTTTCAAGGGGTAAAAAGTCGTCTTATACGCCGGAAAATACGGTAGATCAAAGATAATACAGTAGTGTGATTACATGCAAACAGTCATTATCTCCTTGTACTCTGCAGACTTCAGTACAAAAATAAACTAAATGGCTAAATGGTTAGCACTTCCGCCTGGCAGTTATAGGGTCACTGGTTCGAATCCCAACCATGGCACCACCTGCCAGAAGACTACGGGACCATTCAGAAAGCGCAGCGCTACTTGTGCATGCGCAGTGAGCACCCGACTATTGAAGCCACAAGTTGTCACAGCCGAGTGCCCACACTGAAGATGCCGGTGCCGGAAACACAGGGTGGCCAGGGAAAAAGGCTGCGGGGGACACCATGGGATCAAGAGACAGGTAAGTGTCTGTTTTTTAAAAGTCAGCAGCTACAGTTTTTGTAGTTGCTGACTTATATTTTTTGTTTTCACTGGAACTCCGCTTTAAGTACTGGTTCACACCGGTGTGACATGCAATTTACAAATCGCACCCGAAATTGCATCTTAATGTATTTCTACACTATGGGGTATCACAGTGGCTAATGGTTGGCACTTCTGCCTGGCAGTACTAGGGTCATTGGTTCAAATCCCAACCACCTGCCTGGAGTTTGCATGTTCTCCCTGTGCCTGTGTGGGTTTCCTCCCACACTCCAAAAACATGCTGGTAGGTTAATTGTATCCTCTCTAAATTGGCCCTAGTATGTGCATATATGAATGTAACTTAGGGACCTTAGATTGTACACCCCTTGAGGGTTAAGGACTGATGTGCATGTACAATATATATGTAAAGCGCTGTGTAAATTGACGGCGCTATACAAGTTCCTGAAATAAACAAATAATAATAAACTCACTGCTGAGCATTCCTGACTATGGCTAGAACAATTATTTTGTCCGTGTACTTATGCATAAATAAAAATCAGATTCTAAAACAAGATATCAGGATAAGAATCTATAGAAAAGTCTGATTAGGATACAATGACATAGGAACTAAATGACACAGTAATAGACAGAAAAATGATTTGTTACACTGAAGATGACCCTTACCTGTAATACAGTTTCTCTGGCCTCCATTAAAAGTTGATGGCCTTCTCTAGTGCCATTTTCCACCAGCACCTATGCAACCAGGAAAACAGAGCCACATTTAAAGATGATATATGGATACAGGAGCTGCAGTTCTTAAAAAAAAAAAAAAAAACCCACAAACCAGGAAAGCTCCTGTTTTCCTCCATAAAGCCTGGATGGTCTTTTGTCTTTCAAACAAGTTGGGAAGCTCATTTAGGGAGAAAGCAGAAATCACCAAGTCATACTGCACCTGAAAACGATAATGACTGTATTAGGGTATGATGGTGAAAACACTGTTTGTCAGCATGAGAAAAAGGACATAAGGACAGGAAAGCACAATCTAACAGCACATAATATAAATGTGCATGGGGTGTAGTGCTTTCAGTGTACAAAACATCCGCTAGTGACATACAGTAAAAAAAACAAAAAACATACCTTGGGAGAAACTGGCAAAAACTGCCGAAAATAAATGCCATTGATGTGCATATCACCTGTCTCCTCTCCACCTGCCAACACAAATACACAGAAAATATAAAGGCTAGTACTATTTACACCAGATACATTTTAAGAAGGCCTCTATCAAAAATAGAAGTTTGATTGAGGCTGGAGGCTAATGTTGTAGGGAAAAGTATAAAAATTATAGCCTTTTAGGAATGAAATGGCACGGCATTAAATGAGGCAGAGTTGCAAAGATAAGCATGACTTTATGTCTATTCCCATTGCCTTAAACAAAAGGCACATCAATCTGGGGGGAGGTTGTCGAATACAAAAAAAAATAATCAGGACAGGGCATCTTACCTCTCAGAACTAATTCACTGAGTCGGTTCATTGATGCAGAACTATCAACACACACATACTCTTTCAGACTGGTACCCCATTTAGCATGTGCTGCCCTGAAGTACAATATTAAAACACAGAAAACATATATTGTTAGATGGGAAAAAAACAAATACCTATAATTAAACTATAAAAACTACCATTTCTGACTTTTCCTCACAATTCTCAAGATTAGACATAGCTGTTTTAACTTTAACCAGTTGACCTCCGAAGGTTTAACCCCCTTCATGACCAAGGCATTTTTTGCTATTTAGCACAGCAATATTTATATTATTTTTTCCACACAAACAGAGCTAACTATTGGTGGAATTGATCACCACTGTTTTTTTTATTATATAAAATGAAAATAAAAGACCAAAAATTTGGATAAATAAAAAACAATATTTTCTACTTTTTTTTTTTTTTTAAAACATTTCCAATAAAAAAAAAATCTAATTTCTTCATGAAACGTTAGGCCAACATATATTCTGTTATACAGTTGCAAGAAAAAGTATGTGAACCCCTTGGGATTACGTGGAGTTTTGTATGAATTGGCTATAAAATGTGCTCTGAACGTCATCTAAGTCACAACAATAGAAGAACACAGTCTGCTGAACATAATACTACACAAACATTAGATGTTGCCATGGTTTAATTGCACATAACATGTAAACGTTCACAGTGCAGGGAGGAAAAAGTATGTGAACCTTTGGACTTAATAACTGGTTGACCCTCCTTTGGCAGCAATAACCTCAACCAAACGTTTCCTGTAGTTGCAGATCAGACCTGCACAACGATCTGGAGTAATTTTGGACCACTCCTCTTCACAAAACTGTTTCAGTGTAGCAATATTCTTGGGATGTCTGGTGTGAAATCGCTCTCTTAAGGTCATGCCACAGCATTTCAATCGGGTTGAGGTCAGGACTCTGACTGGGCCACTCCAGAAGGCATATTCTGTGCTGTTGCAGCCATTGTTTTGTTGAATTACTTGTATGCTTTGGGTCATTGTCCTGTTGCATCACCCATCCTCTGCGGAGTTTCAGTTGGCGGACAGATGGTCGTACGTTTTCCTGCAAAATGTCTTGATAAACTCTGGAATTCATTTTCCCATCAATGACAACAATCCGTCCAGGCCCTGAGGCAGCAAAGCAGCCCCAAACCATGATGCTCCCTCCACGTTTTTACAGTGGGGATGAGGTTTTGATGTTGGTGTGCTGTGCCTTTTTTTCTCCACACATAGTGTTGTGTGTTCTTCCCAAACTCAATCTTGGTTTCATCTGTCCACAGTATATTTTGCCAGTAGTGCTGTGGAACATCCAGGGTGCTCTTTTGCAAACTTCAAACGTGCTGCAATATTCTTTTTGGATAGCAATGGCTTCCTCCGTGGTGTCCTCCCATGTACTCCATTCTTGTTTAATGTTTTCCTTATTGTAGATGTGTCAACAAAAATGTTAGCATGTGCCAAGATTTCTGTAGGTCTTTAGCTGACACTCTGGGATTCTTCTTTACCTCATGCAGCATTCTGCGCTGTGCTCTTGCAGTTATTTTTACAGGACGACCACGCCTAGGGAGAGTAGCAACAGTGTTAAACTTTCTCCATTTGTAGACAGTCTGTCTTACGTGGACACATGAACATCAAGGCTTTTGGAGATACTTTTGTAACCCTTTCCAGCTTCATGCAAGTCAACAATTCATGATCGTAGGTCTTCTGAGAGCTCTTTTCTGCGAGGCATGGTTCACATCAGACAGTGCTTCTTGAAACCAGTAAACCCAAAACAGGTGTGTGTTTTTTTAAGGGCAGGACAGCTGTCAGCAACACATCCAATATCATCACACTGATTGGAGTCAAGGTTGGCTCACTCCTGGCTCCAATTAGCTCTGGGAGAAGTCATTAAGCTAGGGCCTCACATACTTTTTCCTCCCTGCACTGTGAATGTTTATATGTTATGTGCAATTAAACCATGGCAACATCTGTGTTTGTGTAGTATTATGTTCAGCAGACTGTGTTCTTCTATTGTTGTGACTTGGGCATAAAATGTGCTCTGAACGTCATCAGAGTCACAACAATAGAAGAACACAGTCTGCTGAACATAATACTACACAAACATTAGATGTTGCCATGGTTTATTGCACATAACATATAAACATTCACAGAGGGACTGATGTGAATGTGCAATATATATGTGTAAAGCGCTGCGTAAATTGACAGCGCTATATAAGTACCTGAAATAAATAAATACTCTACCTTGTCACTGGCTGGTAGGGGTTTAACATGAAGGAGAAATCAAAGGGTTAACTGTGTACCTATAATAATCATCTGTGTGTACCCTGTACTAGATATCTATACCAATTCTAACAAAGAAATTGACACCAACACTCATTGATATTATACACCAATATCTGAAACAATCTTACAAAATAAAATTTTACACTCTCCTGAATAATAAATAACTCATATCACAACACATATGTGAATAAATCAGTAAAAGTCCAAAAACTATTGAAAATCCACCATGAATAAATTTTATTGAATTCAATGTGCACCAGGTGTAAAAAACAAAGTTGCTTACCACCAAACAAAACCCACAGGGATGGACGAGTAACTCCACACAGACAGATCTTCTTTTCTGTCATTTCTTTAACACCTTCTCACACCAGTATTGTTTTTTCACCATAAAAGCATACCCAATAAAAGAATTCATAGTGAAGTACTGTAACTAGATTTATTAGGTATATAGGAAAGGTACTCACAAACATATAGGATTCAGAGCATTAAAATCACACTCCCAGTGCTCTAGGCAAGTGTCATGAGAGCAACGCTACCCTCTGCCTGACGTACGTTTCCTTCTATGAAACGTCTTCTGAGGGATCAGACTCTGATCGGGTATTATGGGGTTATGGTGAACAAAATGGATATACTGTGTGGATGAGTTCATCCTGTGGTCTTATACCGGTGTGAGAAGGTGTTAAGGCAATGACAGCAAAGAAGATCTGGCTGTGTGGACTTGCTCATCCATCCCTGTTGGTTTTGTCACATCTGCATGCGCTTTGGACCTCTTACTGAATGTGAGATCTAGGCTTCTGGTAAGCAGCTTTGTTTTTACACCTGAAAACTGGGGCACATTGAATTCATCAAGATTTATTCCTGGTAGATTCAGGGAAAATCTTAAAAAAAAAAAAAAAAGGACTAAATCAGGGCCCAGTCTACTTGTCCTTCATGAATCTACTTGTTCTAATAAAAAGAAATAATTTGTTTCCGAGGATGGAAAATATGAACAGTTGATCTTTTGTTTGTAGGAAGAGGTGCTTTTAGTAATGTCTGAGGCTTCTAAAAATGAAAGGGGCTTTAGGGCGTTTCAAACTTTTAATGTTGTTAGCATTGCGCTGTTTATTTCCTTCCCACCTCCCTGCCTGTTTCCAGCACCCGAGGAAAGAAGGGAGAGACCTTGCAGTGTGACGAGCACTGACTGGGTACTTGTCATGAAAGGGGAGTGTCGGGCTCTCTTAACACTCAGCAGAAGCGCATCAGCTGAGCGAGTAAATAAGGCACTGACCCCAATGAGAAATAGAAAAAGCAAACAAACAAAAAAAAAAAACTTTATTCCTTCAGGTAACCCTCGCACATAGAAGTACTTGGGTGCTCAGTACAAGTGCATGGTGAGAAGCCAAATCAAGCTCCAGTGTCTGCTTCATTAAAGAATAAGATCAACTTTGGAAAAAAAAAAATAATAAATGCACATTTTTTTGCAGGTAAAATAATATGCATTTAGAATATTTTTGCTATGAGCCTGTAAAGCCTTGCACCCACAACCAGCAAATTGTGGGTGTGATGTCATGGTCCTGCAGACTATGTAGCCGTCTGCTGGTACCTCCAATACAGGCAGGCAGTTACACAATGACAGGACGTTCAGTGAACTACCTAGAGAGCTTAACAGCTCCCTGATAGTTGAGAACTACAAGCCAACAGCTGCAAAGGCTGTCTGTACTTGTAGTTTTCACATTCCTTGAACTCTATAAATGAATGAAGCAGCTGGGCAGGTGCAGCTCCACATGGTTGTGTTATTTTCAGATTGCGACAGCCAGCATAGAGAAAAGATACCCTGCTACCAGTCAAAACTGAGTCAAGACGAGTGCATCTGTATGGGAAGGTGGTGGTGGGGGGGGGGGACAAACAACGCAGTAGTGCCTGTAATTTATCCTCACCATGACACTGATCCAACACCAGAGCCAAAGTCTAATAATGTCTGAGGCTTAAAATCAGGAACACGCTGATGTATCTGTAAAATACACAAGACATAAAAAACACATTATGATAAAATAGTTTGGATTTGCGCAAGCCCTTTGAGAGTCTAGCCCTTATTAAAGTGTTATTCCACTTATTCTGAAGTCACTCTGGTCTGGTCACATGATTGGCTTCCAGCTCCAGCTTCATCACCCAGGCTCTGCAGCCATTGTTGCTGCCTGTCCTCTACACAGAAGGCGCACTGGAGAGAGACCAGACCAAAGCGAATTATACTACCATTTTACCGGGTAAGCAGAAAAGGCTTAGAATGGGGGGGGGGGGTGAAGATTTCACTTTAGTCTGGCTTTGACTGAAATACACTTTAACTACAGTACATCATGAGATTATTTAAACTGTATGTAGGCTTGCAATTTTGTTTTTGAAGGGAGCATACTGCATTTTTTAAATACATTTTCTTTCTTTATGTTCATCACCATAAATCATCATCACTGGTAGAAAATATTGCATATGAATATTTTTTATGAATAATTAATTTTTAATGAATATAAAAAGTGTCACTAAAAAAAAGGAACAAAACAAATGAAAAAAAGAAAAGTTAAAATTACAGAAAAAAATTAAAGAGAAAAAATCAGCAGCAAAAGTGGAGAAAAGACTTAAGCAGGACTGACTGCGGTTCACTAAGGGCCATTTTACCCCAGAATGTGATGCAGAAAACCTGTGTTCAAAATGCATCGCAGTTGCGATCGGCAGCAGGTGTCAATGTTAGTGATGTCACAAACAAAGTACTTCTGTACCATGTGATCCAGTTGCTCTGCGTTTTTTTTAAAGTAGTGCATCCACTGCTGTGGTCCGATGCGATTCAGCCCACTCAAAATGAATAGCATCTCACTCAACTGCATGTGAATCACACCCTTTTATTAACCCTTAGGGCAAATTCACACCAGGAATTGCAAAGGAATGTGAATCGGCCCTAAGGGTTAATGAGAGGGTAAAATAGCAATTTTGTTTACATTAAACCTGCAAGGATGCTTATGCAGATCAAAAGAGCACCCTTTCATCTGTTATGAATGAACCAAACTAGTTAAGTGTTCTTGCATAGCAAGGAACACTTATTGTATTCTCACATATATATATTCTTATTCTTATTATTATAGGCATATTTACCACCCTAACTTCTCCCACAGTTTTTACACTACAAAGACAAGTAATATATCAAAACGTGCAGATTGTTCCCGATTGGTGTGCTATTACTTTGTGGAACGTTTCGCCAAATCGTTCACGAAATATCGCGGTTTTTGTGGCAAAATTTTCCCATAGGAATGCATTGAGCAGCAGAGCACAGCTAGAGTGTGCAAAGGAAAAATCAGAAAAATCAGAACATGATTTGTAAACTGCCATCACTCTGTCATTTTCAAGCCCACCTACACATATCTTATATCAAAACGTTCAGCTAACCCTGCTGTCACTAAAAATGCTCACGGCTAGGACATACTCCTGATAGTTTTCACAATATGACCATTTGTTTGCACCTCACCCCTCCCATTGACTTTCATTGAAACTCCACTCTAGACACCAGAAATTTTAAGGGATGTCTTTAAACTGCGACTGTGCCTTCATTTTTTATCTTTCAGAGACATACTATACATCAAAATGTAGGTCTGTTTCTTGTGATTGTCACAATATAAACCTTTTCACGGTATTTATACTTTTAAAACTACAAGCGTTTGAAGATGGCAATCGCCAGTGAACTTGGCAAGTTTGAAAAGCCTGTTTAGAACAGACATGCTGACATTCCTCTCAGAGTGAGTTGTCATAGCAACCCAGCTGTCTCAGCACAGTGAGCCTACTCCGCCCTCTCCAGGTGCAGCAACCAAAGGTCACTCAAGAGGCAGATGACTCACCAGGCTGGACTGTGAGCTTCAAAATACAAGCTGAAATGCATTTCTCACTATCAGGCTTGCAATGTGCACTGCTTACATTTCATCAATCATTTGGTAAAGGTTGCAGCAAGAACACTTTACACAATTTCCCAGAAATTGTAGATTTTCTAGTCTCACATATATATTCTTATTCTTTATAGCCAATTTTAGCACCCTAACTTCTCCCACAGATTTTACACTACATAGACAGTAATATACCGAAACGTGTGGATTGTTCCCGATTGGTGTGCTATTACTTTGTGGAACATTTCGCCGAATGGTTCACGAAATATCGGCGTTTTTGTGGTGAAATTGGTCCCATAGGAATGAATGGCGGAATGTTCAAAACTAGAGTGTGAGCTGAAAAATCAGGACATGATTTGTAAACTGCCATCACTCCCTCATTTCCAAGCCCACCTACACAAATCGTATATCAAAACGTTCAGCTATCCCTGCTGCCACTAAAACGGCTAAGCCCTAGTCCTGATAGTTTTCACAATATGACCATTTGTTTGCAGCTCACGCCGCCCATTGACATTCATTGAAACTCCACTCTAGCCACCTCAAATTTGAAGGGCAAATTCTAAACTGCGACTGTGCCTTCATTTGTTATATTTCAGAGACATACACACATACATCAAAATGTAGGTCTGGGTCTTCTGATTCTCACAATTTAAAGCTCTTCAGTGTAGGATTTATATTTTTTAAACTACAACCGTTTGAAGATGGCAACCGCCAGTGAAGTGAGCAAGTTGGAGCAGTTTGTTTTTAACCGCTCTTCTCTGCCCTTGCTGTAGAGTGAGTTGCCATAGGAACCCAGGTGTGTGATCAGGCAGCAGAGTCACAAAAGCGAGAGTGTGAGCTGAAAAATAAAAGTTGAAATGCATTTCTCACTCTATGAAGCTTGCCATGGGCACTTTTTAAATTTGATCAATTGGTTAGTGTAATGTTCACTATCTTTACTCACTCCGCCCACTCCACACAGTTACTCCGCCCACTTCATAAAGTTACTCTGCCCAGTCCAACCTTTTCACAGTTACTCCAGCCACTCCAACCACACAACAGTTACTCCGCCCACTCCAACCACACAACAGTTACTCCAGCCACTCCAACCACACAACAGTTACTCCGCCCACTCCAACCACACAACAGTTAATCCGCCCACTCCAACCACACAACAGTTACTCCGCCCACTCCAACCACACAACAGTTACTCCGCCCACTCCAACCACACAATAGTTACTCCAGCCACTCCAACCACACAACAGTTACTCCAGCACTCCAAACCACACAACAGTTACTCCGCCCACTCCAACCACACAACAGTTACTCCGCCCACTCCACCCACACAACAGTTACTCCGCCCACTCCACCCAGTTACTCTGCCCACTCCAGTTGTAGCTTTTTTAAGCATTTTTGCATTAGCATTTAGCGGAGTTTTGCCACATTTGCATTTTAAAAAAAAAAAAAAATTTTGGGGGGGGTCAAAAAAGTCCAAAAAACACCTGGGGCAGGGCACTGATGATCAATGTAGCCCCAGCAGTGCCACCTGTCAGTGTCCGCCAGTGCCCATCAGTGCCACATAGTGCCTACCAGTGCACATCAATGCCACATATCAGTGCCCATCTGAGCTGCCTTTCAGTGTCACCCATCAGTGCCAGTCAGTGCCACCTATCAATGCCAATCAGTGCCAGTCAGTGCCACCTATCAGTGCTGCCTATCAGTGTGCATCAGTGCCGCCTATCAGTGCCTGTCAGTGCCGCCTAACAGCGCCAGTCAGTGCCGCCTATCAGTGCTGCCTATCAGTGCTGCCTTTCAGCGCCCATCAGTGATGCCTGTCAATGCCCATCAGTGCCACCTACCAGTGCCTCCTCATCAGTGCCCATCAGTGCAACCTATCAGTCCATCAGTGCAGCCTATCAGTGCCCATCAGTGCAGCCTATCAGTGCCCATCAGTGCAGCCTATCAGTGCCCATCAGTGCAGCCTATCAGTGCCCATCAGTGCACATCAGTGAAGGAGAAAAATCACTTATTTACAAAATTTTTAACAAAAACTAAGAAAAAAAACATTTTTTTTTCAACATTTTCAGTGGTTTTTGGTTTGTTTAAGAAAAAATAAAAAACCCCGAGGTGATTAAATACCACCAAAATAAAGCTCTATTTGTCACAAAAAAATGATAAAAATTTCATATGGGTACGGTGTTGTATGACTGCGCAATTGTCATTCAAAGTGCAACAGTGCTGAAAGCTGGAAATTGGCCTGGACAGGAAGGGGGTAGAAGTGCCCGGGGGGCAGGAAGGGGGTAGAAGTGCCGGGGGGCAGGAAGGGGGGTAGAAGTGCCCGGTAGGTGAGGGGTTAATAACACAAACATTACCACCTTGAGGTTTCTTGAATTTCGATTCTACACTTGTATACATGGAGAGGCTGCAGCAGACACTTAAATTGCCACATAAAGTGCTGGGAGGATTACATGAAGGAAAAATGAAGGCTTTGTTACAGCAGAATACCCCCCCCCCCTAACCTTTATAGGTAAGAAAGCTGTCATTTTACAGGCGGTTGCCGTGGTCCTGCTCCTGTGTCCAGCTATGGCATGAAAAGTCAGTTGAGAGCTCCCATAGGCACACTGGTGACAGTTATCAGCACAGGTATGATTTGAATGTTACTGGCTGAACCTGCTCATTTGCATATCTTTGCAAAGGATTCTGGGAAATGGGTTTTGCCACCTCAGGATTGATGAAATCTGAATTATTTGTGTTTTTAGATGGTTTATAGAGCCAGAAATATTTGGAAGTGAACATACAAGCCAAAAGAAAGATTTTAATGTTAAATTCAAATTTGACTCTCCATAGGTTGATATTTTGGTAGTTCGGGCGGTTTAAAAAGACTCGAAGCTTACTGAGCAGATGGAGAGGTTGGGAAAGCTCAATGGACACCAAGTTTAAGGATCTCTCTGGGACTGAATCAGTGACACTGATGTGAAGATTCCTCTGAGGGGAAGTTCATTGATACTGATGGAGGATCTCTCTGAAAGAAGTTCAGTGATTACTGACAGGAGTGATACATAAAGGATCGCTCAGGGGGAGTTCAGTGATACGGACAATGAGGATCTCTCTGGGGAAGTTCAATGATACTGACAAAGAGGATGTCACAGAGAAGTTCAGTGACACTGAGGGCGGGCAATACAAACTTCTCTGAGCCCCATTCCAGAACACTTGGAAGTTGAGCGTTGTTCCCTGCCTCTCTTTTTTAGGTGTTTTTGCATTGCAGACCCCTCCCCTGTTATCTCACATATAGGTTCTTATTATTATAGCCACCCTAACTCCTCCCACAGTTCTTACACTACATAGACAGTAATATACGGAAACGTGCGGATTGTTCCCGATTGGTGCGTTGTTACTTTGTGGAACGTTTCGCCGAATGGTTCACGAAATATCGCCTTTTTTGTGGTGAAATTTTCCCATAGAAATGAATGGCGCAACTAGAGTGGGAGCTGACAAAAGCTAGAGTGTGGAAGGAAAAATCAGGACATGATTTCTAAACTGCCATCACTCCCTCATTTTCAAGCCCACCTACACAAATCTTATATCAAAACGTTCAGCTGTCCCGGCTGTCACTAAAAATGTTCACGGCTAAGCCATACTCCTGATAGTTTTTACAATATGACCATTTGTTTGCAACTCACGCCGCCCATTGACTTTCATTGAAACTTCACTCGCAGCCACCTGAAATTTGAAGGGCCATTTCTAAACTACGACTGTGCCTTCATTTTTAATATTTCAGAGACATACTATACATCAACATGTAGGTCTGGGTCTTGTGAGTCTCACAATATAAAGCTCTTTGCTGTAGGATTTATACTTTTAAAACTACAACCGTTTGAAGATGGCAACCGCCAGTGAAGTGAGCAAGTTGGAGCAGTTTGTTTATAAAAGCCCCTCTCAGCTTGTTCTGACTGAGTGAGTTGCCATAGCAACCGAAGGGGAGTCACCAGGAAGCAGAGTGACCAAAGCTACAGTGTGAGCTGCAAAATAAAAGTTCAAATGCATTTCTTCAAGCTTGCCATGTGCACTGTTTACATTTCATCAATCACTTGGTTAGTGTTGGAGGCAAGAACACTTCACACAATTTCCCCAGAAATTGTAGATTTTCTAGTTACAATATACATTGCTACATTGTAACTCTTATTGACAGTGCAGACACTGCTCCTGTGATACAAAACACATCCTTGCTGTCATTTTTATGGCCAGAGAGCTGAGGTGAAAATGAAGGGTTTTTTGGGCGCAAGTTCAAAATCTACTTCGGTAATAAATGTACAGTGCAAAATGTAAAAAGCGGAAACCATTTTTGCAGTTCACATTGAAGTCATTTCAACATCTCACCTCTTGTAGAGCTCTTGTTACTGCAGCATATCCTCCATCAAAGCGAGCAGCCAAATACACCAAGCCAATCTGTTCTGTATAACTACATAAAAAAACACAATGCATCGTAGAGTAAGCATACAAAAAAAATTTGAGAAGTTGTAAAGCATCAATACACATAGTAGTGTAGTGTAAAGTGTAGTGTAAAAGGCAGGGGCAGACTGACAACTCATGGGGCCCCCGGGCATTAGGGGATCATGGGGCCCCTGTGTACTTTCCCAAACTCAAAAAAAAAGCCTATGAAAAAGGTACCAGGGGCATCTCATGGGGCCCCCTACTGACCTCGAGCAGTGCCCTAGTTTCCAAATGGTCAGTCAAGGCAACACATAAGGTATTATATACAGTTGTGCTCAAAAGTTTGCATGCCCTGGCAGAAATTGTGAAATTTTGGCATTGATATTGAAAATATGACTGATCATGCCAAAAAATTATCTTTTATTGAAGGATGATGATCATATGAAGCCATTTATTATCAAATAGTTGTTTGGCTCCTTTTTAAATCATAATGATAACAGAAATTACCCAAATGGCCATGATCAAAAGTTTACATACCCTGGAATGTTTGGCCTTGGTACAGACACACAAGGTGACACACATAGGTTAAAATGCCAATTTGAGGTTAATGTCCACATCTGTGTTTTTTTAAATTGCAATTAGTGTCAGTGTATAAATAATCAATGAGTTTGTTAGCTCTTACGTGGAAGCACTGACTAGGCTAGATACTGAGCCATGGGGATCAAAAAAGAACTGTCAAAAGTCCTGCGTAACAAGGTAATGGAACTTTATAAAGTTGGAAAAGGAAATATAAAGATGTCCAAAGCCTTGAATATGCCAATCAGTACTGTTAAATCACCTATTAAGAAGTGGAAAGTTTGGGGATGTCTTGATACCAAGCCAAGGTCAGGGAGACCAAGAAAGACTGCAGCCATAACTGACAGAAGAATTGTCTGGGATTCAAAGAAAAAGCCACAGGCAACCAGGAAATACAGGCTGCTCTGGAAAAAGACGGTATGGATGCAGATGCTCAGCCATGGAAACCTATTACATGCTCTCTATGCACTGTTGTGCTAATCTGAAGGCCACAAGAAGTTTGAAGGTCTTTAGCTATTAACTCTGCAGACAGTTGGAGACCTCTGCACACTGTGCTCTTCAGCATGCGCTGACCCAGCTCTGTCATTTTACATAGCCTACCACTTTGTGGCTGAGTTGATGTTGTTCCCAGTTGCAGATTTCAAGGAACAAAAAAGTAATCAAAATTCATAACTTGCAAAGTTCCTTTAATATTTGTGCATCTCCTGTTACCAACAAGATCTGAATTATTAAATAAACATATTAGTTTGCCGTAGATTTGTCTTTGATAAAGCCCTAATTAACATGGATAATGGTTACTTAAATTCTCCATCTTGATGGCAGGGGTCCTTTTGAGGGAGGTGGTGGCGGCGAAGGCTTATGCAGGCAACTTGTTTTCTCTTATCTCTACTCTACTCCTATTCTTTTCTCTTTTTCAACATTATCATTTACTGACGTTTTTATATGGCACCCAATTTTATACATCATTAAAAGGATGTGTGTGCACACTAAATTTTTGTGGTTGTATCAGCATTTTGTCCTTTTAATAGTGGTGGATTTCACATTGGTAGCTCATGGCAAATACCCTACTATGTAATATTTCTTCTGTCTGTGTGTTCACTTCTGTTAAAACTGTAATTGGAATATGGTCCTGGATATGCAATGTGGAATACCTTTTAGAGATTGTTAATGTCTGCTGAATATTGTTCTCCTGCTGATTGTACTTGCCTACCGATCCACCTATGGGTACTTTCTCAGACATCTATATCGGTTGTGTACAAAACGTTTTCTGAAAAAAATCAGCATGATAATTCTTACCTTAAAGGCTGCCAGTTATATACTTGCTTACGCAAAGTAGTGAGTACTTGTCTTTTTATCTTTTCCTTATATGCATCAGTGTCAATCTCTGTTAAAAACAGACAACAGTTTATATTATTTTCACACCATCATCACACAAAATGTGCAAATGAAACTTAATATAATTAACCATGGTCATCCATGTTAGCTTTTACATCATGTCAGTGACAGAAAACCCCTTTTATAAGACACTTTCATGGAAGCACATGTTAAAAACATATACAGTATATAAAGGAAACAAAGGGGATAAGTATTAGTTTTTATATGACGATAACCCTATCTTTTAATTTAAATGATAAAATGTGATTTTTGTACTCACATGAGCTACTCTGCCATGATTAGGCTCCATGCACACTGGCTTAAAAAATGCCAGAGCTCTTGACAGAAAAAAAAACAACTGCTTAGGAGCTGTTAGTGTTTTTTTTGCTAGAAAAACGCTCTTAAAAAAAAAAAAAAAAAAAAACACAAAGTAGTTTTTTTTGTTTTGTTTTTGTTATTGCCTCTAATTGCCGCGCTTAAAAAAAAAAACAAACCACAAAACACACGTCTAGACTACCTAATGTGTATGGACACATAGGATAACAGTTGTTTCTATAGGCAAAATGCTAAACTCCTCTAGGAGAGGCATTTTTTTTTAAGATAGTGTGCAACCACATCACACATATGGCAGCCCTTTGAAATAATTGGGTTGCCCTATGTGTGTAACTCAAAAAAGAGCGTTTGTTAAATGCTACGTGTGAATTAGGCCTTAGGAAGGAGAGTCTGAAGTTTCTCTTGGGTAAGAAAAACTGTAGCCAAGCTTTATCATGAATGAGTCCCAGATATTCCAAGGGATGAATTGGTTCCAGAGCCAATTTCTGAAGGTTCAAGACCCAAATGAACCATCGCACTAGAACCTGAACCGATTGCTCCCTCAGTGTGTTACCTAAATATTCCACAATGGGAATGCCCTGAGAAAGAAAAAAAGGCAGGCATGGAAGCCAACACCTTTGTGAATATGGTAGAAGATCAGGGGACACAAAGCAAAGCAAAGGGGCACTAGAAAGAAAAATGGTGACAAGCAGATATGCATCCTTGAGGACCTCAGAAACCAGAGAGCACATAAATTTCCACCCAGTAATCCCATATCTGCAGCAAAACCAATGGAAAGCAAGAAAATGATTGGCCCTCAGGGATCCTAACAGCGATCTACCTCCCAGCACTCAGTCTGCATGGCCTACCCATAAAGCGAGTCTACAGAGACAGAATTACCCTTGGGGCTGTACCCAAATCAGCAAAGTTCCACAATGCAGATCCCAGTGCATGAAGGTCACATTTTGGTTAGCCCCATGATGTCCAACCCAGTAGGGTATGGGTACAGAATTCCTAAGTCAGGCTTAAGAAATGCTGATCTGGATAGATGCATATTAAGACCAGCTTGGTAGCTATGCAGTAGTAATCTTGAAGATAAAAAAAAAAAAAAACATGTCGACTTTTCTCAGCAGAGCCAATGAAGGGCATCGATCCATCTGGACACTAATAGGCTAGCCCAAATTTTTTTTTTATTTACCAGTGCCCAATCGTTCTGTATATGGCATTATAATAAAACAGATTCTGAATCCTGGTGTCCATTAAAGATCAAGAAAGAAAAAAGAGGGACTGTACAGTTTGGTGGCTGTCATGCTGACATTCCCCCTAAGTTTTCCCCCAAAACAATGAAAAAAAAAAAACCACACCTCCATTAGTAAAGGGGAAATGCCCAGCCAGTTTTAGAGCTTTGTCAGGTTTTTAAGGACAACGGGTCACAGTTAGAGGGATTTCTCTCTCTTAGTTTGTTTTCCAAACAGAAACCAATAAAATGCTGACTGAGGTTCTCAGCCTTCTCCTAAAAGAGTCCTGGATAGTAGAAAAAAAACCTGACAGTGATTCTAATCCTCCTCATGTCATAAAAAAAAAAACTAAACGTCAATACCTGACCTTTTGAAAATAACATATGCAGTCTCCTGAGGGTGTGTAATTATATCACATAACAAAGCAGTATAGTTAGGAGGAATATTAAATAGAGGGTTATGGACTTAAAAAATGTAATGGTACTAAGAAAAGAGAAAATACCTAGGGGTCCATTTATTAAAAATAAGCTTTGCGAATGTCTCAGCATTCATGCAAAATTCACAAATAATGCCCAACAGATTTGTAATGTGTGAAATGTCAGTTTCAATTAATTTCCTTTTGCAGGTGAATGTAAAATTACGTAAACGTAAAATGTACGTAAAATTTAATCACAAAATCCAGGTTAGCTCAAACATTAAATGTGGGGATCAGCTCCAGCACAACGCCAATAAGAAAATATGTTTTTAAAACAGCACAAGTCATAGAAGTTACCTCTAATGACAAGAATCTAATGCTCAGATTGCCACTGGTTACTATATAAATGCTATCTGCGCTGATGCTGGAGAGCACTGACCGTGCTTTTTTTCCTGGCAATGCAGCTGAGAATCTGGTGCTCAAATAAAGTGAAGACGGAATGAGTTGTTCACTCTTCCCATCCCTTAAAGCCATGGATTTTATGTTTACTAAATACAAGGCACTCTTTGAATGGATGAAGGCAGCGGAGAGGTGGGTAAATGGCAGGATCTCCCCCATCCACTCACAGTACACATTGCATTTTGTGAAAAGACTAGACTTTAATTTTGTCAAGCCCTTCAAATAGCAGCATATGTTGTTGTCATGATGTGTGCCAAAGGGAGGGGTCCAATTCAAAGGTGGAATTTGCACGTTCTTGGAAATTCCTTTGGCAGCAGCTACATATTGTATGAAGTCAAAATATTTTTCTGTAGAACTACACCTTCCATCTCCATCAGAAACAGATGTTAATGCAAACACCACAAGAGTTCAAGGTTTGTTACAACTTGATAGTAAGAAATATATTTGCCTGAATCTGGCAGTTTGGCTATAAACTCAGCCTCTAGGGCATATGCTTTTTTTCTCAAGTCTGTATCCTCCACAGGGCGTTTCCTGCTCCATAAGTAGTTTTTCAAAGAAGCAGCATGCTCTTCCATACCTTGGATATAGCATTCTGAAATTGAAAATAAATATATATAAACAAGGAGGAAACATTTCCCCTCTCTAGTAAGACACTAGTAAGTGCAATCAGCAAAATACTATTTTTAAATGTCTTTGGTGATCAAGGAATAATATTGCAGCATAGTACTAATAAGTAGTAAATATTAAAATAGAAATAATAAACAGTAAATATAGATCCAACAGCAGAAGCAAAAATGTACGATTTATATCACCCCACTCCTGTGACCTTCAGTTCCAGGCACTGGCAGGTGAGTTGTTTTTTGTTTTGTTCTTTTTACATTAGCCCTGCTGCAGGCAAGCAGCCTCATTGAAGTCAATGGGAGGCAATTTTGCATTGAAGTTAATGTTGTCCCATTGATTTCAATGCAAAAAATGCCTCCCACTGACTTCAATTCATAAATCACCTCCCATTGACTTCAATGCAAAAACTCCTGTCAATAGAAATCTGAACACTTATCTCTGCATTCCACTCTACTCTATCACTTGTGAGCCTGGAATGCAATGCTACAAACTCGCATAGGACCCTTTTTTCGTAACGGCACCCAAAACACAATGCGTGTACATCACATCTGTGTGAACCACCTCAATAGGAACACATAATATCTAGCCTGTCATGCGAATCTGTGAGTTTGAAAACACATCCAGATTCTGCCCGTGATTACAAAACACAGGTTCAGGTACCATTATTTTCAATAGCACCTAAAACATGGTACAATTTTGCCACAACAAATCACATTGTGTGAAGCTTGTCGACCAAAAGAAGCTCCTGCTCCTTCTTGGGCGATAAGCTTCACACAATGCGAATTACCACATGACAACTGCGGAAAAATCCGCACAGCGTTTTAGGGGTCATTGAAAATAAGGACACCTGAACCTTCGTTTTGGGATTGCGGGTAGAATTGCAACCATTCTGTCACAATCCCAAAACACCCAGGTGTGAAGAGGAGCGGACATCAGGGCTTGATCTGGCTGCTCAGCAGGCGCTAGTACTGAGCACCCAAATCCTTCAATGTGTGAGGGTAACCAGAAGAAATCATTTTTTTTACCCATTGGAGATGGCACCTTATTTACTTGCTAAGCAGATACATTTCTGCTGAGCGTCAAAAGAGCCCGACATTTCCATTTCCTGACGAGCACCCAATCGGGGCTCATTACACTGCAAGGTCTCCCCCCTCCCTGCTAGCTGGAGATAGGCAGGGAGGGGAGGAGGAAATAAACAGCGCAATGTTAAACTCATTAAAAGTTTAAGTCGCCATAAAGCCTCTTTTGTTTTTAAAAGCCCCAGACATTCCTAAAACCACCTCAGATTTAAATACGGTTTTGGATAAAATATTTTTTTTTTTGTTTTTATCATGACAAGTAGAATGTCATGAGGGACAAGTAGATTGGAACCCCGATTTAGTCCCTTGAACAAGTATTTTTTTTTTTTTAAAAAGAACATTTCTTTATTGGGCGTATACATGGCATAATAAATAATAATAATAAAAAATAAAGCAACACTTGCTTTTCAGAATATCCTTGGCTGCATCTTCAGCCTCCTGCGGCAGACGGACTAAATTCACGTGCAAGATTCCTGGGTGCTTGCGGTGAGGACCCTTGGACAAGAAATCTGAGGAGTTGTCAAGCTGCGGCTTTCCAGAGGCTGCTGAGCTTAATGCCTATGTTGGGGGAAAAAAAAAAAAAAAGAAACATAGTCCACTTTAGAACCTCCATAATAAACTGAAAGTCTAAAAGGGATGTTGACCATAGATAAGGTACCATATACTGTACAAATATATTTAGGATATTTTACACCAAAACAAACAGTTGGTGTACTCTGGAGCAGTTTGGGTTACTTTGTGAATGTTATAAGCAACTGAAGATTTGCTTTTGTGTTTTGGTAAAGAAAAACTTTGCATTTGTTACAAAAAAGTTACTACAACATACATAATAGTTACACAAGCCAATGGAAGTAAAGCTGATATTTCACTTTTAATCTGCAGCCAACTACAAGTTTCATAATATGTGAAAAAAGTGTATATATATATATGTGTATATCGGACTCTGATTCCTCGTAGCCACAGAAACACGGCTGTGAGGGATTTGTTTTTCTGCACAGAGCTTGCAAAGTAGTAAAGTGCCCGATGTCTGGGGGGGGGGGGGGGGGCAGTAGCTATGCAAGAGAGCAAAGACTGAATTCACCACCTGCCAGGTAATTGATCTGATGATTCTTTTAGAGTGTGATTTTTGCAATATGTACAGTTTAACTAATACATACTAAAGTTGCAAAACCACATTCAGGCATTAATGAACCAGTTCTGCAAACTAAGGGTCCTTTATTTCACATAGAAAAAAAACTAAATAAAAAACAAGTGCGTTTTTTTTTTGGGTTGCTCGACTCCAATCACACACCTGTGAAACAAGGGCATTTATGATGCGTTTTCCATTAGTGTCAATGGAGAGGTGTGTTTTTGGAGTGCTTTTTAAACATGTGCCAAAAAATGTAGCATGTGGAACTTTTTAAAAAATGCACCACACCCACAGATCATTGGTGTAAAGAGAGGCATAGGATTTAAAGGGATATATTTTTCATTCATTTTTGTTCTACTTTTTAAACACCAAAAGTGCATTGAATACTGACCAGTGTGAAAGGGCCCTATGACCAAAGGGATCAATCCAGAGGTGCCAGGAGAAAACTGAATCCTAACTCCCCAGTCACATCAAAGCCAATTTTGAAATCGTGCAACTTACAGTGAGGTCGCACGATTTAAAAAATTGGGTGACTTGCCGATTTCCTTGCGATTTGAAAGACATCTGACACAGATGACCATGCAAATCGCAACAAACGTAGTGCATGCACTACTTTAGAAATTGGTGCAGCTCCAACCAAGTCAGAACCGCGCACCGATATGACCGCTCTTATAGCGGACAATAGGGTGCGACTTGGCATATGATTTGCAAGTTGCCTGACATGCAAACCGCACCCGATGTGACCGGGGGCTAAAGCTGCAAAGCAATCACAAAAAATGTTTTCACTGAGAAATAAGAATCCCATGTAATTAGTCGCACATGTCACATCTACCCAGGGATCTCTGGTCCTGAACACAAAGGGGTTTATTTACTAAAGCTGGAGAGTGCAAGATCAGGCTCATTTCTGCATAGAAACCAATCAACTTCTAACCTCAGCTTGTTCAATTAAAGTGGATCTAAAGCCTCAAGGTGTTTTACCTTAGTTCATTCTATGTATCAAGGTAAAAAACCTTCTCTGCGGCAGGATACCCTCAGCCCAGGGGCGGACTGACAACTCATGGGGCCCCCGAGCAATAGGGGATCATCGGGCCCCTGTGTCCTTGCCCAAACTCAAAAAAGCCTATGAAAAAGGTACCAGGGGCATCTCATGGGGGCCATTGGCTCCTGCTCCTGTCAATCAACTCCAGTGACAAGAGAGCAGGGGGCAGGGCCGAGTCCCGCTGTCTGTGTCAATGGATGCAACAGCAGGGCTCGGGAATGAGCATGCACGAGTGCCCCCATGGGAAGTGACTTCCTGTTGGGGCACTAGACAGATTGTTGGAGCCTAGAGTGCTGGCGGGGGATCCGAGAAGAGGAGGTTCAGGGCCGCTTTGTGCAATTCCATTGCACAGAGCAGGTAACTATAAAGATGTTTATTTAAAAAAGTAAAAAAAAAAAAAAAAAATTCCCTTTATAATCGCTTTAAGCAAGAAGTCCGGTTCACGGACCTTCACACTGTTGGGGGGCCGGACTATAGTTTGAAAAAAAAAAAAAAAAATATGAACAAATTCCTATGCACACTGCACATATCTAATTTGTAGTGAAAAAAACAGGAAAAACAATATTTAAAATGCACTGTACACTAACGCACTGTACTCTAACACACTGGACAGCGCAATGCACTGTACTCTGCAACGCACTTGGCACCGCCATGCACTGTACACTGTAACGCACTGGACAGCGCAATGCACTGTACTCTGCAACGCACTTGGCACCGCCATGCACTGTACACTGTAACGCACTGGACACCGCAATGCACTGGACACTATAACGCACTTGGCACCGCCATGACCTGGACACTGTAACGCACTGGACACCGCAATGCACTGGACACCGCCATGCACTGTAACGCACTTGGCACCACCATGCACTGTACACTGTGACGTACTGGAAACCTCAATGCACTGTATACTGTAACGCACTTGGCAGCACCATGCACTGTAACGCACTGGACACCGCAATGCACTGGACACTGTAACGCACTTGGCACCGCCATGCACTGTAACGCACTTGGCACCGCCATGCACTGTAACGCACTTGTAACGCACCGCCATGCACTGTACACTGTGACGTACTGGAAACCGCAATGCACTGTATACTGTAACGCACTTGGCACCACCATGCACTGTATCGTACTGGAAAACCACAATACATTGTACACTGTAACGCACTGGAAACCGCAATGCACTGTTCTTTGTAACGCACTTGACACTGCAATGCACTGTACACTGTAACGCACTGGAAACCGCAATGCACTGTACACTGTAGCGCACTGTACTCTGATACACTGGACACCGCAATGCACTGTACACTGTAGCGCACTGTACTGATACACTGGAAACTGCAATGCACTGTACTCTAACGCACTGTACACTGACACCGCAATGCACTGTACCTGGTGCCTGGTGTGAGCTACTCCTCTCCTGTTGCTCCTCTGGCTGCAGCAGGTGAATTCCTGGGCTTCCAGGCTGCCACTTGCTGGGTCCTTATGGCCGAGGATCCAGCGAGCAGCCAAGGTATTTTGCCGGCCAACGCTGGAGTGTTTTTTTTTTCCCGGCTGGCCGGATAAACGACTTTGGCGGGCCGTAGTTTCAGGACCCCTGCTTTAAGCTTTGGCAATGAAACCTGCAAGCTGATGATGCCAGACAGATAAATGATCTGCTGATGGTTTCTATGCAGAAGTGATCCTGATTTTGCACTCTCCAGCTTTAGTAAAGCCCAAACTGTCCACCTCCACTGCATGTGAGACTTTCACTGATCCACACATTGTAGAATCTCTATTTTGTTCCTGCATGCAAGGGTGGCTCCATAGGATGCTGCAAGAGAAAGAAGCCACCCTGAAACTGGAAACCTGGGGCAGCGGTCACGGCATGAACTTAAGGCTGCATTTGTTACATGTGCATTTTTTTGTGTGCAAATGCACCAAAGAAGCTCCTGTACCTTTTCCAGGCATAGAGCTTGGTGCGTTTCTTACCGTGCATTTCTTGGCTGTGTTCGGGATGCCATTACCAATTAACCAGTTGCCACCAGACTACAGTACATTTACAGTGGGCGGGCGGCACGGTCAGGCTAGATCTTGTACATGTGCTTTACTTTACTGAGCCAAAGCCACAAAAAAGCCCGGTTACAATATGCCCGATGATACCTTGACACTACTCACCGGGCTTTTTTTGTGGCATTGGAGCATTAAATGGCTAAGCAGCTCATTTTTGTTCAAGTATTGTGCTCCTTAAATACCACACCGTCTTTTTCCAGAGCAGCCTGTATTTCTCCTGAGGTTACCTGTGGGTTTTCCTTGATATCCCAAACAATTCTTGTAGTAGTTGTGGCTGCAATCTTTCTTGGTCTACCTGATCTTGCCGTGGTATCAAGAGATCCCAGAACTTCACACTTCTTAATGAGAGTGATTAAACAGTACTGAGTGGCATATTCAAGGCATTGGATTATCTTGTTACACAGGTATTATGACAGTTCTTTTCTGCTCCCCATGGCTCAGTATCTAGCCTGCTCATTGCATCCACATGAGAGCTAGAAAACTCATTGGCTATTTATACGAAGTCAATAATTGCAATTTAAAAAGCCACAGATGTGGTAATTTAACCTTTGATTGCCTTTTTAACCTGTGTGTGGTGTCACCTTGTGTGTCTGTACTAAGGCCAAACATTCCAGGGTATGCAAAGTTTTCATCATGGCCATTTGGCTGATTTCTGTTATCAGTATGATTTAAACAGTGAAATCATACTGTAGAGTAAAGCATGCTTGTTAAAATCACTGTGAAACATAAGGGGTTAATCCTCCGCATTGTGTAAAAAAAAAATGTTTGATCCTGTCTTCTCTGATCCTCACCTTCTTCTACTGTCCTCTAAATATCTCCTGATAGAACAGAGAATTGGAGGCAAGCTGCACATGCTCAGTTTGGTGTGTATTGCTGCAATGTTTTTTTTGGGGGGAGAGTGCATGTGATCAGCACAGGGCCAATTAGCACTGTCCAGACAGAGGGACAAAGGTCATGCAGCCTCATAGGGGAGAATGAAAACTCCTCCTACAAGCTTTAACCAGTGCTCTGCTGGACACTGATAGAAGTCACAAGACTGCTCTACCTGCTGATGAGAAAGGGTAATTAGCAGTTTATTTTTAGTAAAATAATTACATTTCCATGTTGTGTGTACTGTGGGAGACCAGATATAGTGAATGCAGGGTCCTGGGTTTAGTAACACTTTAATGATCGATATGTTTGGCATCCATTTACTCCTCGCAACCTCATATTTCAAATTTAACCAAAACCATGGGTATTATATGGTGGTTGTGGGAATTGAAGTTCATTTTATTGTATTTTTCGCAGTGAAAATATGTTTGCTGTGTTTGAGGCTAGTTTTACACCTATGCAGTTTGCGTTTGATCTGTTTCTGCAGTGCCTTTTACGGTGCGTTGTTGCATGTATTTATGCAATATTTTTCTTTTATGGACAACTAGCTGCTAGGCAGATTCAAAGCGCAAAGTGCTGATCACATGCACTCTCCCAAGAAAAAAAAAAAACTCTAGCAATACACACCAAACTGAGCATGTGCAGCTTGCCCCCAATTCTCTGTTCTATCAGGAGATATTTAGAGGACAGTAGAAGAAGGGGAGGATCAGAAAAGACAGGATCAAACACCCTTTAAACACAATGCAGAGGATTAACCCCTCAAGTTCCATAGTGAGTTTAACAAGCATGCTTTACTCCATATACAGTCTGATTTTACTATTCAAATCATACTGATAACAGAAATTCAAGTGCTGTGCTTTGCGTGCGGTTCCATAGAAGTCTATTGGACTAAAACGCAAACTGCTGTAGGAAAAGAAGTCCCTGACCCTTTCGAAAAACGTGTCCGCAAAAAACACATAGATGTGAACGTGATCCATAGGAATTCATGATAAATGGCATGCACTGCATTCCTGCAAAACGCATAAAAAAAACGCACAGGTGTGAATCTGCCCTTAAAGAAGTACAGCCAAAGCTTGTTTGGCTGTACATTTTCTTCTGCACTCCTGTGACCCATTTTCAGCTGACAACAGACTGCTATCTGCTGATGTCGCTTAGTCATTCCAGGCTTTGGAAAAATCCCAACTTTAAAGTGAGGATCCACCCCATATCCCTGGACTGGCACCTAGCAGTCTCTCAGCAATCCGCTAAGAGCCCGCTGCTCCCGCCCCCTCCACAGCCCAGCACTCCAGTGAGCGTAGGGGGGAGGAGAGCAGACCAGAGAGCACCAACTGACGGATTTCTTCTTACATCCTGTTTTGGCTATGGGACAGGAAGTGAAATGTCCTCAAGGGTTCTGCCTTTAGTTAGGATTTATATAGCGCCAACAGTTTGCTCAGTGCTTTACAAAATGATGATAGACAATAGAAAAGGGTTAGGAGGGCCCTGCTCCTGGGAGCTTACAATCTAGGAGGGAGGGGCTAGTGGTACAAAAGGTAGTAACTGTGGGGGATGGACTGGTTGGAAGAGTAGAAGATTCCATTATTAGCTGAGGGCAGGATAGGCTTCCCTCAAGAGATAGGTTTTCAGAGATCGCCTAAAAGTGAGCAGAGTAGGCGATAGTCTGATAAATTGGGGTAGAGAGTTCCAGAGGATGGGGGAGGCTCTGGAGAAGTCCTGGAGATGAGCATGGGAGGAGGAGGCAAGGGAGTTACACTTTAATTGGAGGGGAGGTGCAGTGGAGAAACGTTTATTATAGGAGTAACTGGAAAAAAGGTCATTTAAATATTCTTTTAATTTCCGCAACCTTCTGCAGCAGTAAGGTGATGTGATTGTATCTGCAGAGGACTCCATTGTCACGTGGCCACTAGCAGCCCATCTTAACCCTTTCCCATCCCAAGAGTCACAGGAAAGAAGCTGCAGAACAATGCAACTGCCATGTGCGGAGCCTGCTTATCGCGAGAGCGCCATTCTACCAACAACACAGAGAAAGAGAGAGAGGTGACCCCAGGCGCTGTGTGCCAGCCTCAGCACTCACCCTGATTTGCTGAACCCGGAAGCGTACCGCTAACATGGTGCATTCACTGTCGCAGCTTCACCTACAAAGTGCCGACACCATGCCTCAACCTCCGCCCCGCCTTCACAACCATAACCAATCACCCAACACCTACGAAACTCTCCTATCACGTGCTCTGCCGCGGCTTCTCATTCATCCAATGTAAAGAAGCCGCCTCATGAGTGACAGCTCAGGCAGCCAGTGGCGGGCCTTTATGTGAACAGGCGCTTAGTGTTGGTATCTAAGAGTGAGGAAGAGGTGAAACATGTCCGGGCGTGCAGCCTCTGCCAGGGAGCGCAAGTCTAGGGGTGAGGGATGCTGTGTCCAATGTATTTCACACATTGTTCCGGGGAGAATATGTCCTTATATATCTGTATAAGCTGCATGTTGTGGGAAGGCCGGTGGGGAGTTACTAGGGTCACCAGTGTAGGCTGGGGGTGAAACTGACCACTAGTCCTGTGCACATCTAGCATCAGGGATCCTTCACACCATGGTGCAGAGAGGTCAGGTTTTCTGCAGGCATTCTGCAAGGGCAAAACAAAATCAATTGTTCTCTATGTGCCCTGTTCACACTATAACACTAGGATCACACGCAGATTTTTTTCTGCACAGGAATCTGCAAGGTGTATAAGGCTCTATATACATGGGACATGTCTGAATGATGGAAACTGCTGGAAAACACAGGTTAAAAACCATCTGCTTAGCCGCGTTGCGTTTAGAATCGTTTTTTAAAGATAACCTCAGGAGATCTTCTCAAATGCCCCGAATGCACTGAAAAACAGTAAAAAATGAATTATTTCAGACATTTTGAGAGAAATAGAGCAGAAGCAGAGAGAGCAGTATGTGTTGAGATGACCTGTCTTTTTTTGTGGTGTTTGGATGTGTTCCAGCTCACATTTTCTTTCATGCAAAACCTCAAAGTATGGTGTATTAGGTCCATTTGAGTACCGGGAAAATGCTTTGCATGTATTTTTCATGATGAAAAAAAGGCTCTGGACAGCATCTGGAAATGGAGTTAACAAAATTTTCCAAACGCAAATGCTTATAAACGTGGTTAGCCACGTTTGCAAGCATTTGGCGTTTGAAACGCTGATAAAATCTCCTGAACGCAAGTTTGGTGCATTCAAAAATAACGACTGTAAACGACATAGTGTACACATAGGAAAATATTAGGGAGACTTCAGGGGCTGCTGAAAAAAACGCAGCAAAGCTCCTAAATGTGAGTTTATCAGCTGCAGTGTACATGGAGCCCAAAACTCATTGGAGTGTGCATGATAACTGATGTCTGCTCACCGGTTTCCTTCAGTTTTTCTGTACATATGGTGTGAACGAGGCCTTATTGTGGTCACATCGGGTGCGATTTGCATGCCCTGCGACTTGCAAATCGTATGCCAAGTCGCACCCTATTGTCCACTATTAGATCGGTCATATCGGTGCGGTTCTGACTTGGTTGGAGCCGCACTGATATCTAAAGAAGTACATACACTACTTTTTGGCAATTTGCATAGACATTCTGTGTCAGATGTCTTGCAAATCGCAGTAAATTCGTCAGGTCACCCAATTTTGAAATCGTGCGACTTCACTGTAAGTCACACGATTTCAAATGTGGTTTTGATGTGACTGGGGAGTTAAGGGCTCGTTCACACTTGGCTGTTTTACCAACGCTTGCCAAACGCCCCTATAGCGTTTGGCAAGCGTTGGTCCGGCGTTTGCGGAGCGTTTTTTTACGCTCCGCAAACGCCGCATACGCGGTTTAGTGGAGGTTGCTAGGCGTTTTACCGAGCGTTAATAATGCCCCACAAACGCCTATAATACAGTTTGAGTGGTGTTACTGCTCCGCAAATGCCCCGCAACCGCACCGCAAACGCCGGCCGGGCGTTTGCGGAGCGGCACCATAGACGAGAATAGGAGGCTTCAAAGCCTCCTGACTCGACCAGAGGCGTCCGTTTTGACGCAACGCGACGCAAACGCTCCCGTTAGAACAGCACCATGTGCTGTAATGTGCAGAATTGGCAGAGGCGTTTGGGAAGCGGTAAAAACGCTTCTCAAACCTCTCTGCCGCCTGCACACAACGCTACTGTGAACGTAGCCTAAAACTGGAGAGCTCAGAATCTGGTGCAGCTGTGCATGGTAGCCAATCCGCTTCAAACCTCAGCTTGGTCATCCAAGCTTTGCCAATAAAACCTGGAAGCTGATTGGTTTCTGTGCAGAAGTGAGCCTGATTTTGCTCTCTCCAGGTTTAGTAAATAAACCCCAGTGTGTATTAGCTCTGGTTCACAATGAATGCAACTTTGAAATAGCACTACTTCACTTGAAGTAGCACAATTTCAAAGCTGCAGATCAGTGCGATTTCTATCTCTGATTTCACTGAGGCTTGCAACGTCATTTAATAGAAATCAAAGCAAGTCACAATGAAATCAGAAAAAAAAAGTAGAGCAGGAGCTGTTTTTGAAATCGCACTACTTCAAATCGCACTGATTAAGACCGTGCCATAGAAATTATTAATATTACAGGTACTTATATAGTGCTGTCAATTTACAGAGCGCTTTACATATATATTGTACATTTACATCAGTCCCTAACCCTCAAGGGGTGTACTATTTAAGGTCCCTAACTTACATTCATACATACACATACTAGGGCCAATTTAGACAGAATCCAATACCAGCATGTCTTTGGCGTGTGGGAGGAAACCCACGCAGGCACAGGGAGAACATGCAAACTCCAGACAGGTGGTGCCATGGTTGGAATTCAAATCAATGACCCTAGTACTGCCAGGTGGAAGTGCTAACCATTAGTCACTGTGCTACCCCACAGTGTAGAAATACATTAAGATGCAAATTCGGGTGTGATTTGTAAATTGCATATTGCACCATTGTGAACCAGGACTTAAAGTGGAGTTCCAGTGAAAACAAAAAAAATAAGTCAGCAGCTACAAAAACTGTAGCTGCTGGCTTTTAAAAAACAGACACTTACCTGTCTCTTGATCTCGCTGTGTTCCCCCCCCCCCGCAGCCCTTTTCCCTGGCCGCCCTGTGTTCCTGGCACCGGCATCTTCAATGTGGGCTTCCGGCTGTGACAGCTTGTGGCTTCAATAGTCCGGTGCTCACTGCGCATGCACAAGTAGCGCTTCGCTTTCTGAATGGTCCTGTAGTCTTCTGGGACCTCTCATGTGTCCCAGAAGACTACGAGGGGGGGAGGACAACTTCTGCTTCTGATCGCCTAGGAGATTGCAGCGGGAGGGAGGGGTACCTGTCAATTTCGGGTACCCGCTTCCAAAAGTTGCCAATCCTTAACAGGGAGCAGGGGACCAGTCCTTAAAGCGGAACCTCCCCTTTTAGGTGGCGCTCCGCTTTAAGAAAAGTGACCATGGGTCGTGGGGTTTACACATCTGCTGCATATGACTGGCTGTCCACTTTGACAGCTTCCTGGGGGGGAGAGCAAAGACAGGTTCGGATTGGTGAGCGAACATTTCTGAGATCATCCCTTATAAGGATCTGATGAATAAGTCTTCACAGAAATGGATGATCTGATCGTATCTATGGGTCATAGGATAAATTGATCAATTTAAAGTGATTTTAAAGGCAATTTTTTAAAATGACAAACATGTTATACTTACTTGCTCTGTGCATGCACTGTATTATACTTACTGGTGCTCCTCACCCCTCCCTTTTGCCATGTGCCCCTAGAGCAAGCAGCTCACTCCTGAGCCACCTCTGTGCTCCCTCCTCACTGGCTCTGATTGACAGCAGTAGGAGCCAATGGCACTCACTGATGGCTCTGATCCAATGAGTAGGGAGAGAGCTGAGAGATCCTCTGCTCTCATGCACAGCTCTGGATTGACATTGGGCTCAAGTAAGTCTAAGAGCAGGGGGTAGCTGCATGCAAAAAATGCATTAAAGTAAAAAAACCTTCAGCCTTTAGAACCACTTTCATCTAAATTGGGGATCTCAAAATTCTTTATCCGGCCCTTGGGGCAGTATTCCTCCCACAGACCAGCCAACAATGGTGCACTATTCCTTCCACTAATACCAATGATGGAGTACTATTCCATCCACTAATACCAATGATGTGCTCTACTCCTCCTACTGACCACCAACCCTGAGGGCATGTTTTATTCTCACTGATGCTGGGTGTGGGACATTTTCTAGCCCCACTGGCACAATCCGGCCCACTAAAGTCTGAAAGACAGTAAACTGGCCCTTTAAAAAGTTTGGAGACCCCGATCTAAGTCACCATGATTGGTTTTGCTAGAAAACAAAATGATCGTAGGAAAGTATATAATTATTAGGCGTATGCTATTCTGATCGGATAGTAAATCTATCAGCAATATGATCGCATTTAAAAGTGTTCCAGTCATGGCCGCTATAAGGCTCGCCATACACTATACCAGGCATCACTAACTGGTAACCGATATCTCTATTAGACCTAATGTCTCCCCTGCCCACCAATGCAGCTATTCAAACACAGATTGTATTTGAAAAGCTGCATCTTCGGTCACTGTAGCCGAGGAATGATAGCGGTGACCGCAGAAGTGGCATAATACATGACACTTCCGGGTTTGTTAGTCGCAGGAGGGATTGGGGAATGGATGTTCTCCATGTTCCTCCTTCTTTCACCAGGTAAACTGTGTTGGAAAAGCCCTTCACCAGCTCTTAAAACCGGTACTGATTTAACCACTTATCTACCATGCCATTTATAAAGGTACCTTGGTAGACAAGTGGTTAACAAGCAAGTGATTGGTTGCTAGGATGCAGGGTGATCGCCAGCTTGTTAACATTAAAAGTTCTGTTGCCCCTGACCTGCTGTGCCTCCTGTCTTCCACCATATGCATCTGTGTATGGTAAGACAGTCACGGGAGCTAGAAGGGGGCTGTGGACACTGTTGTGAAGGGTGGAAGGGCAAGGAGTGATGTGAAGGGGGTATGAGGAGACTAATGTGAAGGAGGGCTGAGAACACTACTTTGGGGAGGGGGTGTGGTGTGGAGGGGGGGGTTCAGGGATGTTTAATTCCTATCGCCCAACGCCCAGAACATGCAGTTCTGGGCAATGGGCAAGAAGTTTTGATCTACATTTAGCCCTGCTGCAGACTACTCAACGCTGACAAAAGCTGAAGGCAGAGAAGCCTGGCTTCTAGTCCGGCACCACACAAAACCCTCACTGCTCTGCACATGGCAGAGGAGAGGGTCGGGAAGTTTTCATCAGTGAGCACACAGTATATACAGACTCCTATCTCCTAGAAACATTCCTTGTTATCTCCTAATGTATTGTATTACAACCTGCCCTAGCCCTGCACTTTACTGCAGCTAA